GCTTGCAAGAAAGCACAAGAGCCCTCCCAAGATGCTTGCAAGAAAGCCAATAGCTCCAGCTCTGTGGGGTTGCCCTTGCGCAAGAGCCACACCGAGAGCGCCCCTGGCTCAGAACAGGCTTGCAAGAAGGCCAGAACTTTGAAAGAAGAAATTTCAATGGTCTCTGTAGATTCTCATGGGTTCCCCATGATCTTGAAATCACCAGAGCGTGAGGATAGAGAGCGACCCATGTCAATTTTAGAACGACAGAGGGCGAGTTACAGGGAGCAACTACAACAGGCTGCCCAGGCAGCTGCCCAGCAGCATGTGGCAGATGGAAGCTCAAGGCCTGCAAGAAGGCCTGATCTTTCCAAGAAGCCAGCCGGCAAACCAAAAGCCAAGCAATGCATAAAGAAAAAGCCATCTTACTCAGGGCCTGAAAGGAGGCCAGAAGCCAAGCAAGGCCCAAAGAAAAAGCCATCTTACTCAGGGCCTGAAAGGAGGCCATGGTCAGATGTGAAGAAAGTTTTGGGAAAGGATCAAGCCTATCTACTAGGCCTGCAAGAAGGCCAGTGGAAACTCATAGTGGGCTGCACAAAGAAAATGGGCAAACATTTTCCAGGGGGGCACCACAGTGTGATCCTGGAGTTGGAAAAAGTTGTGATGGAGGAAGGCACGACAAAAGAGAAGATGCAACAAAAAAGGGATGATTTGGTCAAAGATGTTGACTGATTTGGTCAAAGATGTGGACTCATATGCTTGGAATGGCCTGAGAGAAGGCTAACAATATATTTGTGTTTTTGCTTCAAGGCCTGAAGGAAGGCCAGTGAAGGTAGATCATGTGTAAAGGCACATTGACAATTGCATTTAGCTGGCCGATGAAAAAAGAGCGAGTGATCTGGGAGGGCTGTGTCTTAAGCTCTTGCAATGTGGTATACTGATTGACCAACATCAAACTAAGCTGTAGGGAAGCCATCTAAAGTATCAATTTCCCCTGCTCTCAAGAGACACCCACAAAAAGAATAGACTAATATATACTTTCCAATCCATTCACATGCTCTTTGGCGCTTAACTGTTCAATGTAAGTATCAGCAGCTTTAAAGCCAGTGGTGTTTACCGAAAGCATTTTTGAAAATTTTCAGATACTTCTTTATATCTTTAAAATTTCTCTATATATATAAATATGTATTGAGCCAAACAAGAAATATATGTATATTTTGTTGTATTTATGCATTGAACAAACAAACATATTTATACATTTCCAGCCTCAACAACTAACCACAGACATGCTCGAATGTGTGCACTCCGCTTTTTTTGGCTCAAGCAAGCATAGCTTTTTGTTAGCAAACAGAAACTCAAGAGCTGCAAGAGGCCTGCAAAAAGGCCCAGCTGCCTGAAAGAAGGCATGCCCTGGCAGGGGAACTGGGGCAAAGGTTGGAGAAGCTGGAAAGAAGAAATGGAAAGAGAATGGGCAGATGAAGACGAAAAAGATCAATGGCTGCAGGCCAGAAGAGACAGGTGGGCAGATGGTGGCCAAAGTTCTTCTGAAGAAGGCAAGGGGCCTGCAAGAAGGCCAGAAGGAAAAGGCCAGAAGGGCAAGAAGGGCAAGGGAGAAGGCAAGAAGGGACCTGAAAGAAGGTCAGACACACAGCCACAGAAGAGAAAGGCAAGAAGGGAAAGGGAAAAGGCAAGCAGGGGTCTGAGAGAAGGCCAGAAGCCGAAGAAAAAGGCAAGGGAGGCCAGGAAGAAAAGGGCAAGAAGGGGCCTGAAAGAAGGCCAGTCTTTCAGCCTGAACACTGGGGAGGCAGGCCAGAGTGGGACCCGTTTTGGCAAGAAGGGCGAGGCAAAAGGTCCAGAGAGGCCAGAAAGGCTGAAAGGTCACAAAGGCCAGATGTGCAAGAAAGGAGGGAAAGGGGCCTGCAGGAAGGCTACCCTCCAAACCAAGTTCAGCCTCTACAGCCAGGGTCCCAAAAGTGGAGGCTGATCAAAGAAAGGGAGAGGGACCTGGCAAAAGTGGAAAGGGAGGTGTTGGCTGACACAGCCAGGCTGGCAGAGGAGAGGGCAGCCTTCCTGGAACTGCAGCAAAAGTTCCTTGAGGAAAGGCTTGGGGGGCCTGAAAGAAGGCCACAGCCAGCTGTGGTTCTGACTCCTGCCAGTCAAGAAGCAGGCCCTGCAGTGGTCTTGAAAGAAGGGCCAAGTGGGGAGAGGCCTGAAAAAAGGCCAGATGAACCTTCCCCAGATGTGGAGAGGCCGGAAAAAAGGCCAGATGAGTCCTCTCAAGAGGAGAGCAAAGAAGGGGCGACGCCTGAAAGAAGCAGAAGGTCGAGTCAGATGACCTCTGAGGCTTGAAAAACAGCCAACACTGTGCCCTCAAAGTTTCACCTGGGAGAGGCTTGAAAGAAAGCCACCCAGTGCATGCCAAATGTTTCACCTGGGAGAGGCTTGAAAGAAAGCC